AATTTCCAGCCAGGACCTGCACAATTCCCTAAAATTCCAGCTTGGAAATCCCAAAATTCCAGCTCAGAAATCCCAAAATTCCAACCCCAAAAATTCCTGTGGAAAATTTCCAGCCAGGACCTGCACAATTCCCTAAAATTCCAGCTCGGAAATCCCAAAGTTCCAACCCCAAAACCCCAAAATTCCAAGAATTCCTATGGAAAATTTCCAATCTCAGCCCTTTTCTTGTGGGGGAAAAGTTTCCTCGAGGTGTTCCCAAAAATTTTTTGCTCTTCCTTGAACTAAGCCAGAATTCCCAAAATTCCAACCCAGAATTCCTGAAATTCCAACCCAGAATTCCTGAGATTCCAACCCAGAATTCCAGCTCAGAAATCCCAAAATTCCAGCCTGGAAACCCCAAAATTCCAACCCCAAAAATTCCTGTGGAAAATTTCCAGCCAGGACCTGCACAATTCCCTAAAATTCCAGCTCGGAAATCCCAAAATTTCAGCTCGGAAATCCCAAAATTCCAACCCCAAAACCCCAAAATTCCAAGAATTCCTATGGAAAATTTCCAATCTCAGCCCTTTTCTTGTGGGGGAAAAGTTTCCTTGAGGTGTTCCCAAAAATTTTGGCTGTTCCTGGTTTTCCCTTGAACCAAGCCAGAATTCCCAGAATTCCAACCCAGAATTCCCAAAATTCCAGCTCAAAACCCCCAAAATTCCAACCCCAAAAGCCCAAAATTCCAAGAATTCCTATGGAAAATTTCCAATCTCATCCATTTTTTTGTGGGATAAAAAAGTTCCCTTGAGGTTTTCCCAATTATTTTGCTCTTCCTGGTTTTGAATTCCCAGATTTTAATTAAGATTTTAATTCATTCAATGAAATCCATATGGAAAAAATTGAATTTAATTCATTTCAAAATCCAAAAACTTCAAGGAAAAAATTGGATTTTCCTTGGTTTTTATGGAATTTTGGCCTCTTGGGATTTTTGTCATGGAAAAGATTTGGGGTTCAATGGTAAAAAAATGGAATTTCAATGATTTCTTTCCTATTTTTCCTAAAATTTCTCGTATTTCCTAAAATTTTTCACATTTTTGGGATGAACATTCCACATTCCTGGAATTTCCTGGGAAAACCCCAAACCTGAAACTGCCAGGGAATTTCAGAACTTCAAGAAACCCCCCCAAAAAAAATTGGAAAAAATAAAAAAAAATCAATTTTATTTTGAAGAAATTCAAAGCTACCAACCCAAAAATTGGGATTTTTCCAATGGGGAAAATGGGGAAAAATCCCAGAATTTTTGGGATCTTACCTCGGAGAAAAGGTAAAATTCCTCAGCAAAATATTGGAATGCCAGGTAGTGATTGACCACCACCAGAACTGCAGGAAAAACCAGGAAAAAACAACGGGATCAGAACATTCCAGAGGGAAAATCCCAAATTTTGGAGCCCTCCCGTTCCCCCCAGGCCAATCCCAAAACCTGGAATTCTGGCCAGGCCCCAAATGTTTGGGAATTTTGAGGTGGGGGTGAAAATTGGGGGGATTTGGGGGATTTTTTGGGGGTTTGGGGTGTTCAAGGATCCCAAAATTTGGGATCTCAAACCTCAAAAAATTCCTTCAAAATTGCCCCAAAAATTCATCAAAATTCCCCCCAAAATTCCCAAAGAATCCTCAAAAGTTCCCCCAAAAAATCCCCAAAATTCCCCCCAAATATTCCTAAAAATCTCCCCCAAATATTTCCATAGAATTCCCCAAAAAGCCCCCCAAGAATTCCCAAGAACCCCCATAAATCCCCCAAAATTCCCCCAAAAATCTCTCCAAAAAATGCTCAAAAATCCCCCAAGAAATCCCCATTAATTCCCTCAAAATTCCTCAAAAAATCCTGAAAAAGTCCTCAAAAATCCCCAATAATTCCCTCAAAATTCTTGAAAAAATCCTGAAAAAACCCCTCCCAAAATTGCCAAGAATTCCCAAAAAAATCTGAAAAAAAACCCCCAAAAAATCCCTAAAATCCCCCTAAAACTCCCCAAAATTCTTGCAAAAATTCCCCTAAATTCTCCCAAAAATTCATAAGGATCTGCAAAAAATCCTAATAAATCCCTGAAAATAATCCAAAAAAATTCCTAAAAAAATCCCCAAAAATTAAAAAAAAAATTCCCAAAAAATCCTCAATAATTCCCTCAAAACCCCTCAAAAATCCCAGAAAAATCCTCACAAAAATCCTCACAAAATCCAAATAAATCCTAAAAAAATCTCCCCAAAATGCCTCAAAAATTCCCAGAAATCTCCTAAAATATCCCCCAAAATACCCCAGAAAATCCAAAACAATCCCTGAAAAATATCCCAAAAAATCCTTTAAAAATCCCTTAAAATATTTTTAAAATCTCCAAAAAAATCCTCCAAAACTCCCCCAAAAATCCCTTAAAAATCCCCAAAATTTCCCTAAAAAGTCTCCAAAAAGTCTCTCAAAATCCCCTAAAAGTTGCCCAAAAAATCCCAATAAAACCCAAAAAATCCAAAAAAATTCCAAAAAACCCACCAAAAATTCCAAGAAAAATCCTCATTAATACCCTCAAAACTCCCCAGAAATTCTTCAAAAAATAAAGAAATATCAAAAAAGTCCCTAAAAAATTAATTAAAAATCCCCAATAATTCCCTCAAAATTCCAAAAAAACCTCCCCAAAAAAATGCCACAAATCCTCTAAAACTCTCCAAAAAATCCCCAATAATTCCTTCAAAATTCTTTTTAAAATCCTGAAAAAATCCACAAAAATGCCCCCAAAAATTCCCCAAAAAAATCTTTAAAAAATCCTGAAAATTTTCCAAAAAATCCTCAAAAAATTCCCAGAAAAATCCCCATTAATTCCCCCAAAACACCCCAAAAATTCTTCAAAAACTAAAAAAATTTTCAAAAAAGTCCCTTAAAAATTAATAAAAAAATCCCCAATAATTCCTCAAAATTCCTCAAAAATCCCCATTAATTCCCTCAAAAATTCTCAAAAATTCCCAAAAAAATCCTCAAAATTCCCCAAAAATTCCTCCAAAAATCCTCAAAAATTCCCCATTAATTCCCTCAAAATTCCTCAAGAAATCCCCCCAAAAAATCCTCAAAAAATCCCCAATAATTCCCTCAACATACTAGGAAAAAAATCTTTAAAAAAATCCCAATAAATGCCCCAAAATTTCCCCAAAATTACCAAAAAACTCCCCAAAAATCCCCAAATAAAACCCAAAAAATCCCAAAAAAAATCCTTAAAAATCCCCAATAATTCCTAAAATATTCTTGAAAACTCCCAGAAAAATCCCAAATAATTCCCTCAAAATTCCTCAAAAAATCCCCAATAGTTCCCTCAAAATTCTTTAAAAAATCCTCAAAAATCCCCAAAAAATCCCCCAAAAAAATCCTCAAAAAATCCTGAAAAAATCCAAAAAAATCCTAAAAAAATCCCAAAAAACCTCAAAAATTCCCCCAAAAATCCTCAATAACTCCCTCAAAATTCTTGAAAAAATCCTGAAAAACTCCTCAAAAATCCCCAATAATTCCCTCAAAAATCCTCAAAAAATCCCAAAAATCCTCAAAAATTCCCCCAAAAAATCCCCGAAAAATCCTAAAATATTCTCGAAAACTCCCAGAAAAATCCCCATTAATTTCCTCAAAAAATCCCAAATAATTCCCTCAACATTCTTGAAAAAATCCTGAAAAAATCCTCAAAAATGCCCAAAAAATCCCTAAAAAAATCCTCAAAAATCCCAAAAAAATCCATAATAATTCCTGCAAAATTCCTCAAAAAATCCCAAAAATCCTCAAAAATTCCCCCAAAAAATTCTCAATAATTCCCTCAAAATTCCTCAAAAAATCCTCAATAATTCCTCAAAAAATCCCCAATAATTCCCTCAAAATTCTTTGAAAAATCTGCAAAAAAAGTACCAAAAATCCTCAAAAATTCCCCCCAAAATACCCAATAATTCCCTAAAAATTCCTCAAAAAATCCTCAAAAAATCCCGAAAATCCTCAAAACTTCCCCAAAAAATCCCCAATAATTCCCTCAAATTTCTTTTAAAAATCTGCAAAAAAATCCTAAAAAAATCCCAAAAAATCTCAAAAATCCTCAAAAATTCCTCAATAATCCCCTCAAAATTCCTCAAAAAATCCCCAATAATTCCCTCAAAATTCCTCAAGAAATCCCCAAAAAGAATCCCAAAAAATGCCCAATATTTCCCTCAAAATTCCCTCAAAAAATCCCAAAAATTCTCCAAAAAATCCACAATAATTCCCGCAAAATTCCTCAAAAAATCCCAATATTTCCCTCAAAATTCCTCAAAAAAACCTCAAAAATCCCCAAAAAATCCACAATAATTCCTGAAAAATTCCTCAAAAAATCCCAAAAATCCTCAAAAATCCCCCAAAAAATACCCAATAATTCCCTCAAAATTCCTCAAAAAATCCTCAATAATTCCTCAAAAAGTCCCCAATAATTCCCTAAAATTCTTTGAAAAATCTGCAAAAAAATCCCAAAAATCCTCAAAAATCCCCCAAAAAATCTCCAATAATTCCCTCAAAATTCCTCAAAAAATCCTCAAAAAATCCTGAAAATCCTCAAAACTTCTCCAAAAAAATCCCCAATAATTCCCTCAAATTTCTTTTAAAAATCTGCAAAAAAATCCTAAAAAAATCCAAAAAAAATCCTCCAAAAATCCTGAAAAAATCCCAAAAATCCTCCAACATTCCCCAATAATTCCCTCAAAATTCCTCAAAAAATCCCCAAAAAAGTCCCAAAAATCCTCAAAAATTCCCCAAAAAATTCCCAATAATTCCCTCAAAATTCCTCAAAAAATGCTGAAAAAATCCTCAAAAATGCCCAAAAAATCGCCGAAAATCCCCCAAAAATCCCCGAAAAACCCCAAAATATTCTCAAAAACTCCCAGAAAAATCCCCATTAATTTCCTCAAAATTCCTCAAAAAAATCCCTAAAAAAATTCCCTCAAAAATCCCCAAAAAATCCACAATAATTCCTGCAAAATTCCTCAAAAAATCCCAAAAATCCTCAAAACTTCCCCCAAAAAATCCTCAATAATTCCCTCAAAATTCCTCAAAATATCCTCAAAAATCCCCAAAAAATCCTCAATAATTCCCTCAAAATTCTTTGAAAAATCTGCAAAAAAATCCCAAAAATCCTCAAAAATCCCCCAAAAAATCCTCAATAATTCGCTCAACATTCTTGAAAAAATCCCCAAAAAATCCTGAAAAATCCCCAAAAAAATCCCAAAAACCCTCAAAAAATCCCCAATAATTACCTCAAAATTCCTCAAAAAATCCCAAAAAAAGTACCAAAAATCCTCAAAAATTCCCCAAAAAATCCCCAATAATTCCCTCAAAATTCTTCAAAAAATGCTGAAAAAATCCTCAAAAATGCCTAAAAAATCGCCAAAAAATGCCCGAAAAATCCCAAAAAAATCCCAAAAAAATCCCAAAAAATCCCCAAACCCCTAAAATCCCCAAATTGTGCCTGACCACAGGAGAGGAGGAAGTTGGAGGAGGTGAGGACGATGCAGGGGAAGCTCTGCAGCAGCCCCAGGTACACGAGGTTGCTGAGGAGCCCCATGGCCACCAGGAACCCCAAAGTTCTGGAACATTCCCAGCCTTTTGGGGCACTGAAAGAATCCCAAAATTCCCTTAAAAATTCCCTCAAAATTCCTTAAAAAATCTCCCAAAAAATCATCAAAAAATTCCTCAAAAATTCCCTCAGAATTGTTCAAAAAATCCCGAAAAAATCCTGAAAAATGCCCAAAAAATGCCCGAAAAATCCCCGAAAAATGCCCGAAAAATGCCCGAAAAATCCCAAAAAATCCCAAAAAATCCCCAAAACCCTAAAATCCCAAAATTGTGCCTGACCACAGGAGAGGAGGAAGTTGGAGGAGGTGAGGACGATGCAGGGGAAGCTCTGCAGCAGCCCCAGGTACACGAGGTTGCTGAGGAGCCCCGTGGCCACCAGGAACCCCAAAGTTCTGGAACATTCTGAGCACTGAAAGAACCCCAAAATTCCCTCAAAAATTCCCACAAAATTCCTCAAGAAAAACCCAAAAAAATCCTCAAAAAATTCCTCAAAAATTCCCTCAGAATTGTTCAAAAAATCCCGAAAAAATCCTCAAAAATGCCCGAAAAATGCCCAAAAAATGCCCGAAAAATCCCAAAAAAATCCCAAAAAAAATCCCAAAAAATCCCCAAAACCCTAAAATCCCAAAATTGTGTCTGACCACAGGAGAGGAGGAAGTTGGAGGAGGTGAGGACGATGCAGGGGAAGCTCTGCAGCAGCCCCAGGTACACGAGGTTGCTGAGGAGCCCCGTGGCCACCAGGAACCCCAAAGTTCTGGAACATTCTGAGCACTGAAAGAACCCCAAAATTCCCTCAAAAATTCCCACAAAATTCCTCAAGAAAAACCCAAAAAAATCCTCAAAAAATTCCTCAAAAATTCCCTCAGAATTGTTCAAAAAATCCCGAAAAAATCCTCAAAAATGCCCGAAAAATGCCCAAAAAATGCCCGAAAAATCCCAAAAAAATCCCAAAAAAAATCCCAAAAAATCCCCAAAACCCTAAAATCCCAAAATTGTGTCTGACCACAGGAGAGGAGGAAGTTGGAGGAGGTGAGGACGATGCAGGGGAAGCTCTGCAGCAGCCCCAGGTACACGAGGTTGCTGAGGAGCCCCGTGGCCACCAGGAACCCCAAAGTTCTGGAACATTCCCAGCCTTTTGGGGCACTGAAAGAACCCTAAAATTCCCTCAAAAATTCCCTCAAAATTCCTCAAGAAAAACCAAAAAAAAATCATCAAAAAATTCCTCAAAAATTCCCTCAGAATTGTTCAAAAAATCCAAAAAATGCCCAAAAAATGGCCGAAAAATGCCCGAAAAATGCCCGAAAAATGCCCGAAAAATCCCAAAAAAATCCCAAAAATTCCCCAAACCCCTAAAATCCCAAAATTGTGCCTGACCACAGGAGAGGAGGAAGTTGGAGGAGGTGAGGACGATGCAGGGGAAGCTCTGCAGCAGCCCCAGGTACACGAGGTTGCTGAGGAGCCCCGTGGCCACCAGGAACCCCAAAGTTCTGGAACCTTCTGAGCCTTTTGGGGCACTGAAAGAATCCCAAAATTCCCTCAAAAATTCCCCAATAATCCCCTCAAAAAATCCTGAAAAAATCATCCAAAAATTCCTCAAAAATTCCCTCAGAATTGTTCAAAAAATCCCAAAAAATGTCCTCAAAAATGCCCAAAAAATGCCCGAAAAATGCCCGAAAAATCCCCGAAAAATCCCAAAAAATCCCAAAAAAATCCCAAAAAATCCCCAAACCCCTAAAATCCCAAAATTGTGCCTGACCACAGGAGAGGAGGAAGTTGGAGGAGGTGAGGACGATGCAGGGGAAGCTCTGCAGCAGCCCCAGGTACACGAGGTTGCTGAGGAGCCCCGTGGCCACCAGGAACCCCAAAGTTCTGGAACCTTCCCAGCCTTTTGGGGCACTGAAAGAATCCCAAAATTCCCTCAAAAATTCCCCAATAATCCTCTCAAAAAATCCTGAAAAATCATCAAAAAATTCCTCAAAAATTCCCTCAGAATTGTTCAAAAAATCCCGAAAAAATGCCCAAAAATGCCCAAAAAATGCCCAAAAAAATCCTCAAAAAATCCTAAAAAAATCCCAAAAATCCTCAAAAATTCCCCAATAATTCCCTCAAAATTCCTCAAAAAATCCCCAAAAAAGTACCAAAAATCCTCAAAAATTCCCCAAAAAATCCCCAATAATTCCCTCAACAATCTTGAAAAAATCCCGAAAAAATCCTTAAAAATGCCCAAAAAATCGCCGAAAATCCCCCAAAAAATCCCCGAAAAATCCCAAAATATTCTCGAAAACTCCCAGAAAAATCCCCATTAATTTCCTCAAAATTCCTCAAAAAAATCCCAAATAATTCCCTCAAAATTCTTCAAAAAATGCTTGAAAAAAATCCTCAAAAATGCCTAAAAAATCGCCGAAAAATGCCCAAAAAATGCCCGAAAAATCCCAAAAAAATCCCAAAAAAATCCCAAAAAATTCCCCAAACCCCTAAAATCCCAAAATTGTGCCTGACCACAGGAGAGGAGGAAGTTGGAGGAGGTGAGGACGATGCAGGGGAAGCTCTGCAGCAGCCCCAGGTACACGAGGTTGCTGAAGAGCCCCGTGGCCACCAGGAACCCCAAAGTTCTGGAACATTCCCAGCCTTTTGGGGCACTGAAAGAACCCCAAAATTCCCTCAAAAATTCCCTCAAAATTCCTCAAAAAAACCCCAAAAAATCATCAAAAAATTCCTCAAAAATTCCCTCAGAATTGTTCGAAAAATGCTGAAAAAATCCTCAAAAATGCCCAAAAAATGCCCGAAAAATGCCCGAAAAATGCCAAAAAAATCCCAAAAAAATCCCAAAAAAAGCCCCAAACCCCTAAAATCCCAAAATTGTGCCTGACCACAGGAGAGGAGGAAGTTGGAGGAGGTGAGGACGATGCAGGGGAAGCTCTGCAGCAGCCCCAGGTACACGAGGTTGCTGAGGAGCCCCGTGGCCACCAGGAACCCCAAAGTTCTGGAACATTCCCAGCCTTTTGGGGCACTGAAAGAATCCCAAAATTCCCTCAAAAATTCCCCATTAATCCCCTCAAAAAATCCTGAAAAAATCATCAAAAAATTCCTCAAAAATTCCCTCAGAATTGTTCAAAAAATCCCGAAAAAATGCCCAAAAAATGCCCGAAAAATGCCCGAAAAGTGCCCGAAAAGTGCCCGAAAAATCCCAAAAAAATCCCAAAAAATTCCCCAAAACCCTAAAATCCCCAAATTGTGCCTGACCACAGGAGAGGAGGAAGTTGGAGGAGGTGAGGACGATGCAGGGGAAGCTCTGCAGCAGCCCCAGGTACACGAGGTTGCTGAGGAGCCCCGTGGCCACCAGGAACCCCAAAGTTCTGGAACATTCCTAGCCTTTTGGGGCACTGAAAGAACCCCAAAATTCCCTCAAAAATTCCCCAATAATCCCCTCAAAAAATCCTGAAAAAATCATCAAAAAATTCCTCAAAAATTCCCTCAGAATTGTTCAAAAAATGCTGAAAAAATCCTCAAAAATGCCCGAAAAATGGCCGAAAAATGCCCGAAAAATCCCAAAAAAATCCCAAAAAAATCCCAAAAAAATCCCAAAAAATTCCCCAAACCCCTAAAATCCCAAAATTGTGCCTGACCACAGGAGAGGAGGAAGTTGGAGGAGGTGAGGACGATGCAGGGGAAGCTCTGCAGCAGCCCCAGGTACACGAGGTTGCTGAAGAGCCCCGTGGCCACCAGGAACCCCAAAGTTCTGGAACCTTCCCAGCCTTTTGGGGCATTGAAAGAATCCCAAAATTCCCTCAAAAATTCCCCAATAATCCCCTCAAAAAATCCTGAAAAAATCATCAAAAAATTCCTCAAAAATTCCCTCAGAATTGTTCAAAAAATCCGAAAAAATGCCCAAAAAATGCCCGAAAAATGCCCGAAAAGTGCCCGAAAAGTGCCCGAAAAATCCCAAAAAAATCCCAAAAAATCCCCAAACCCCTAAAATCCCCAAATTGTGTCTGACCACAGGAGAGGAGGAAGTTGGAGGAGGTGAGGACGATGCAGGGGAAGCTCTGCAGCAGCCCCAGGTACACGAGGTTGCTGAAGAGCCCCGTGGCCACCAGGAAGGCCGGGAAGTGCTCGAACAGGAAGAGCCCCAGGTGCACGGCAGAGGAGAACTGGGAATAATGGAAAGAATGGGATTAGGGGGGAAAATATGGGAAATAATGGGGTTGGGGGGGAAAAATGGGAAAAATGGGGGAAAATGGGGGGAAATGGGGAAAAAAATGGGGAAAAATGGGGAAAAAATGGGGAAAAATGGGGAAAAATGGGGGAAAAATGGGGAAAAAATGAGAAGAAACGGGGGAAAATGGGGAAGAATGGGAAGTAAAAAGAGGGAAATAATGGGGGGAAATGGGGGGAAATGGGGGAAAAACAGGGAGAAAAAATGGGGGCAAATGCAGAAAAACAGGGAAAAAAACAGGAAGAAATGGGGAAAAATAGGGAAATAATGGAACAAATATGGGGGAAAAGGTAAAATGGGAAAAGAACAGGGGAAAAATAGGGAAAAAATGGGGGGAAAATGAGAAAAATGGGGAAAAAAGATGGGGAAATGGGAAAAAAAGATGGAGGAAATGGGGGGAAAACTGGGAGAAATAGGAAAAAAATGGGAAAAATGAGAAAAAACCGGGGAAAAATGGGGAAGAATGGGAAGTAAAAAGAGGGAAATAATGGGAGAAAATGGGGGGAAAAAATGGGGGGGAAATGCAGAAAAACAGGGAAAAATGGGGGAAAATAGAGAAATAATGGAAAAAATATGGGGGGGGAATGGAGGGAAAAGGTAAAATGGGAAAAAATGGGAAAAATATGGAGAAAACAGAAAAAAAGTAGGGAAACATGGGAATAAAGTAGGGAAATAATGGGAAAAAGATGGGGAAATGGGGGAAAATTGGGAGAAATAGGAAAAAAATGGGGAAAAATGAGAAGAAACGGGGGGAAAATGGGGAAGAATGGGAAATAAAAAGAGGGAAATAATGGGGGAAAATGGGAGGAAACGGGGAGAACAAAGGGGGGAATGCAGGAAAACAGGGAAAAATGGAGAAAAAATGGGGGAAAATAGGGAAATAATGGAACAAATATGGGGGGGAATGGAGGGAAAATGGGGGGAAAAAGGTAAAATGGGAAAGAACGGGGGAAATGAGAAAAATGGGAAAAAAAGATGGGGGAAAATAGGAAAAAAATGAGAAAAATGGGGAAAAATGGAGAAGAATGGAAAATAAAAAGAGGGAAATAATGGGGGGAAATGGGGGAAAAATGGGGAGAAAAAAATGGGGGGAAATGCAGAAAAACAGGGAAAAAAACAGGGAGAAATGGGGAAAAAATGGGAAAAATAGGGAAATAATGGAATAAATATGGGGGAAAATGGAGGGAAAAGGTATAAATGGGAAAAAAAACGGGGAAAAATAGGAAAAAATGGGGGAAAATGAGAAATATGGGAAAAAAGAGTAAAATAATGGGAAAAAGATGGGGAAATGGGGAAAAAATGGGAAAAATAGGAAAAAATGGGAAAAACAAGAAAAAATGGGGAAAAAAACAGGGAAGAATGGGAAGTAAAAAGAGGGAAATGGGGAGAAAATGGGGGGAAACAGGGAGAAAAATGGGGGGAAATGCAGAAAAACTGGGAAAAAACCAAGGAGAAATGGGGAAAAAATGGGAAAAAATGGAATAAATATGGGGGGGAATGGAGGGAAAATGGAGAGAAAAGGTAAAATGGGAAAAAAAAACGGGAAAAATGGGGGAAATGAGAAAAAGGGGAAAAACAAGATGGGGAAAATAGGAAAAAATGAGAAAAAATGGGGAAAAAATGGGGAAGAATGGAAAGTAAAAAGAGGGAAATAATGGGAGAAAATGTGGGGAAAAAATGGGGGGGAAATGCAGAAAAACAGGGAAAAATGGGGAAAATAGAGAAATAATGGAAAAAATATGGGGGGGAATGGAGGGAAAAGGTAAAATGGGAAAAATAGGGAAAAATAGGGAAAAATAGGGAAAAAGGGTAAATGAGAAAAAGGGAAAAAAGAGGGAAATAATGGGAAAAAAGATGTGGAAATGGGGGGAAAATAGGGGTAAAAATGGGAAATGGGGGAAAAAATAGGGAGAAATAGAAAAAAAATGGGAAAAATGAGAAAAAACCGGGGAAAAATGGGGAAGAATGGGAAGTAAAAAGAGGGAAATAATGGGGGGAAATGGGAGAAAAATGGAAGGAAAAAAATGGGGGGAAATGCAGAAAAACAGGGAAAAAACAGGGAGAAATGGGGAAAAATAGGGAAATAATGGAAAAAATATGGGGGGAAAAGGTAAAATGGGAAAAAAACAGGGGAAAATAGGGAAAAAAACGGGGGAAAATGAGAAAAAATGGGGAAAAAAAGAGGGAAATAATGGGAAAAAAGATGGAGGAAATGGGGAAAAAATGGGGGGGAAATAGGAAAAAAAATGGGAAAAAATGAGAAAAAAACGGGGAAAAATGGGGAAGAATGGAAAATAAGAGGGAAATAATGGGAAAATGGGGGGAAAACAGGGAGAAAAATGGGGGGAAATGCAGGGAAAAATGGGGAGAAATTGGGAAAAAATGGAGGAAAAAATGGGAAAAAAGGGAAATAATGGAAAAAATATGGGGGGAAATGGAGGGAAAAGGTAAAATGGGAAAAATGGGAAAAATAGGAAACAAAAAAACACGGGGAAAATGAGAAAAATGGGAAAGAAAAATGGGGAAATTGGGAAAAATGGGAAAAATGAAGGAATTAACAGGAAATATGGGGGGGAAAGAGAAAAAAAAGGGGGGGAAATGGGAAAAAAATCAGGAAAACCAAGGCAAAAAGCAGGGAAATGGAAAAATGGGAAATAAAGGGAGAAAAATGGGGGAAAAAAGGGGAAAAAATGGGAAAAAAACAGCAGAAAAATGGGATTTGGGGATTTGGGGTGTCTGGGGTTTGGGGTTTCCAGTGTTTGGGGTATCCAGGATTTGGGGTTTCGGGAATTTGGGGATTCTGGGGTTTGGACTTCCCAGGGATTTGGGGGTCTCCAGGATTTGGGGTTTCCCAGGGATTTGGGGTTTCTGGGATTTGGGGTTTCCCAGGATTTGGGGTTTCCAGGGATTTGGGGTTTCTGGGATTTGGGGTTTCCCAGGGATTTGGGGTTTCTGAGATTTGGGGTTTCCCAGGGATTTGGGGTTTCCGGGATTTGTGATTTCCAGGGGATTTGGGTTTTCCCAGAGATTTTGGGTTTCTGGCATTCGGGGTTTCTGGGGTTTCTGGGATTTGGGGTTTCTGAGGTTTTGGGTATTTGGGGTTTCTGGAATTTGGGGTTTCTGGGGTTTCTGGGATTTGGGGTGTCTGGGATTTGGGGTTTCTGAGGTTTGGGGTATTTGGGGTTTGGGGTATTTGGGGTTTCTGGGATTTGGGGTTTCTCAGGATTTGGGGTTTCCGGGATTTGGGGTTTCTGAGGTTTGGGGTTTCTGAGGTTTAGGGTATTTGTGGTTTGGGGTATTTGGAGTTTCTGGGGTTTGGGGTATTTGGGGTATTTGGGGTTTGGGTATTTGGGGTTTGGGGTATTTGGGGTTTGGGGTATTTGGGGTGTGGGGTTTGGGGTATTTGGGGTTTGGGGTATTTGGGGTTTCTGGGATTTGGGTTATTTGGGGTTTGGGGTTTGGGGTATTTGGGGTATTTGGGGTGTGGGGTTTGGGGTATTTGGGGTTTGGGGTATTTGGGGTATTTGGGGTATTTGGGGTTTGGGGTATTTGGGGTTTGGGGTATTTGGGGCATTTGGGGTATTTGGGGTTGGGGTATTTGGGGTATTTGGGGTATTTGGGGTATTTGGGGTTTTTGGGGTATTTGGGGTTTGGGGTTTGGGGTATTTGGGGTTTGGGGTATTTGGGGTATTTGGGGTGTGGGGTTTGGGGTATTTGGGGTTTGGGGTATTTGGGGTATTTGGGGTTTGGGGTTTCTGGGGTTTGGGGTATTTGGGGTTTGGGGTTTCTGGGATTTGGGGTATTTGGTGTTTGGGGTATTTGGGGTATTTGGGGTATTTGGGGTATTTATTTGGGGTATTTATTTGGGGTATTTGGGGTATTTGGTATATTTGGGTATTTATTTGGGGTATTTGGGGTATTTGGTATATTTGGGGTATTTATTTGGGGTATTTGGGGTATTTGGGGTTTGGGGTATTTATTTGGGGTATTTATTTGGGGTATTTGGGGTTCAGGACTCACCCAGATCATGGATTTGATGATCCTCCTGGTGGCCACCGTGTACTCCTCGATCAGCTCTGCCAGGTAATAGAGCCCGGCCGCTGCGGGGACAGCGCGGGGGACACCGATGGCACCGATGGCACCGATGGCACCGATGGCACCGATGGCACCTCGGGGGTGGCACCGGCCCATGGCACTTTTGGGGACACCCAGGGGGCCCCAAATTCTGGGGTGTGGGAGCCCAAAGGTCAGGGAGAGCCAGGGACCCCAGATCTTGGGGACACTCTGAGGGCTTGGGGACATTGAGGGATCCCAAATCTCAGGGACCTTCTGAGGGTTTGGGGACACCAAGGGACTCAGAGTCCTGGGGACATCCTGAGGCCTTGGGGACACCAAGAGACTCCCAGGCTTGGGGACACTCTGAGGGCTTGGGGACACCCAGGGACCCCAAATCCTTTGGACATTGAGGGCCTGGGGACAGCCACAGACCCCAAATCTTGGGGACACTCTGAGGGCTTGGGGACACTCAAGGATCCCAAATCTCAGGGACAATTTAAGGGCTTGGGGGACACCCAGAGATCCCAAATCTTGGGGACATTTTGAGGGCTTGGGGACACCTCCAGACCCTGTGGTGATTTAAGGGTTTGGGGACAGCCAGGGGCCCTCATTGTTGGGGACACTCTGAGGGCTCAGGGACACCAGGAACCCCCAGACTTGGGGACATCCTGAAGACTTGGGGACATCCAGGGACCCCAATCTTGGGGACACTCTGAGGGCTCAGGGACACCCAGAGACCACAATCCCTGGGACAATTTAAGGGCTTGGGGACACCCAGGGACCTTCAGTCCTGGGGACGTCCTGAGAGCTCAAGGACACCCAGGGACCCCAAATATTGGGGACACTCTGAGGGTCTGGGGACACCCAGGGACCCCAAATCTTGGGGACAATTTAAGGGCTCGGGGACACCCAGAGACCTCCAATCTTGGGGACATCCTGAAGACTTCGGGACACCCAGGGACCCCAAATATTGGGGACACTCTGAGGGTCTGGGGACACCCAGGGACCCCAAATCTTGGGGACACTCTGAGGGTTTGGGGACACCCAGGGACCCCAAATATTAGGGACACTCTGAGAGCTCGGGGACACTCAAAGATCCCAAATCTCAGGGACAATTTAAGAGCTTGGGGACACCTTGGGACCTCCAATGTTGGGGACACTCTGAGGGTTTGGGGACACCCAGGTACCCCAAATCTCAGGGACTTTCTGAGGGTTTGGGGACAGACAGGGATCTCAAATCTTGGGGACACTCAGAGCCCTCAGGGACACCCAGAGACCCCAAATCCCTGGCACAATTTAAGGGCTTGGGGACATCCTGGGACCCTCAATGCTGGGGACACTCTGAGGGCTTGGGGACAGCCACAGACCCCAAATCTTGGGGACACTCTGAGGGCTTGGCGACAGCCACAGACCCCAAATCTTGGGGACACTCTGAGGGCTTGGGGACACTGAGGGATCCCAAATCTCAGGGACCTTCTGAGGGTTTGGGGACACCAAGGGTCTCAGAGTCCTGGGGACATCCTGAGGCCTTGGGGACACTCAGGGATGCCAAATCCCTGGGACACTCTGGGGGCTTGGGGACAACAAGAGGCTCCCAGGCTTGGGGACACGTCATGGGCTTGGGGACACACAGAATGTTGGGGACATCCTGAGGACTCGGGGACACCCAGGGACCCCCAGTGTTGGGGACACTCTGAGCGCTTGGGGACACCAAAGGATCCCAAATCTTTGGGACTTTCTGAGGGCTTGGGGACACCCAGGGACCCCAAATCTTGGGGACACTTTGAGGCCTTGGGGACACCCAGAGACTCCCAGGCTTGGAGATATCCTGAAGATTCGGGGACATCCAGGGACCCCAAATGTTGGGGACACTCTGAGAGCTCGGGGACACTCAAGGATCCCAAATCTCAGGGACAATTTAAGGGCATGGGGACACCCAGGGACCCTCAATCTTCGGGACATCCTGAGAGCCTGGGGACACCCTGAGACCCACAGTATTGGGGACACTCTGAGGGTTTGGGGACACACAGAGACCTCAAATCTCAGGGACTTTCTGAGGGTTTGGGGACACCCAGGGATCTCAAATCCTGGGGACACTCTGAGGGCTCAGGGACACCCAGGGATCCCAAATCTCAGGGACAATTTAAGGGCTTGGGGACACCCCGGGATCTCCAGTTTGGGGACACTCTGAGGGCTTGGGGACACTCAGGGACCCCAAATCCCTGGCACAAATTAAGGGCGTGGGGACACCCTGGGACCCTCAATCTTGGGGACATCCTGAGAGCTCGGGGACACTCAGGGACTCCCAATGCTGGGGACACTCTGAGGGCTTGGGGACACCAAAGGATCCCAAATCTTTGGGACTTTCTGAGGGCTTGGGGACACCCTGAGACCCGCAGTACTGGGGACACTCAGGGTGTCCTCAGGGTGTCCTCAAGCCCTTAAATTGTCCCCAAATCCCTGGGACAATTTAAGGGCTTGAGGACACTCTGAGACCCGCAATGTTGGGGACACTCTGAGGCTTTGGGGACACTCAGGGACTGCAAATCCTGGGGACACTCTGAGGGTTTGGGGACACTCAGGGACCCCAAATCCCTGGCACAATTTAAGGGCATGGGGACACACTGGGACCCTCAATTTTGGGGACATCCTGAGAGCTCGGGGACACCCAGACACCCCAAATCTTGGGACACTCTGAGGGCTTGGGGACACCCAGGGACCCCAAATCCCTGGCACAATTTAAGGGTTTGGGAACACCCTGGGACCCTCAGTCTTGGGGACACTCTGAGGGCTTGGGGACACTTAGAGACTCCAAATCTCAGGGACATCCTGAGGGCTTGGGGGGCCCAGGGATCCCAAATCCTTGGGACACTCAGAGCTCTCAGGGACACCCAGAGACCCCAAATGCCTGGGACAATTTAAGGGCTTGAGGACACCCTGAGACCCGCAATGTTGGGGACACTCTGAGGGCTTGGGGACACACAGAGACCTCAAATCTCAGGGACTTTCTGAGGGCTTGGGGACACCCAGGGACCCCCAATCCTGGGGACACTCTGAGAGCTCAGGGACACTCAAGGATCCCAAATCTCAGGGACAATTTAAGGCCTTGGGGACACCCTGGGATCTCCAGTCTTGGGGACACTCCGAGGGTTTGGGGACACTCAGGGACCCCCAAGGTTGGGAACATCCTGAGGGCTCAGGGACACCCAAGGATCCCAAATCTCAGGGACTTTCCGAGAGCTTGGGGACACTCAAGGACCCTCCAATCTCAGGGCCACTCTAAGCCCTATTGGGACACCCAGGGAGCTCCAGTCTCGGGGACACTCTGAGGCTTTGGGGACACCCAGGGAGCCCAAATCTCGAGGACACTCCGATCCCTTGCTGTCCCCGGGCCACCCCCGGGGTTCTCCCCCTTCCCCTCAGCCCTTCCGGCCCCTCCCCCTCCCGTCCCCTCCCCCGCCATATCGCGACACGGCCGGAACGGGCCCAATCCCTTCGCGCAGCCCCCGGGGCGCTCTCACCGATGGCCAAGGTGACAAAGGCCACCTGCACGAGCAGGGACAGCCAGCTGAGCACGTACATGAACCACATGGCGGGGCCGGGCCGCTCCCGGGGCCGCTGCTCCCGGTGCCGCTCCCGGGGCCGCTCCCGCTCCGCGCCCGCCGCCGGAACCAACGAGAGGAGGCACCGGAACCAACGAGACGTGAGGGGGAGAGCGGCAGAGCGCCCCCTGCAGGCCTGGAGGACTCGCGCGGCCTAAGGGGACACGGGGGCCCCAAAATGTGCGGGGGGGACCCCAAAAGTGTAAAGGATGACCTGGAAAAGGGATCCTAAAATGTGCAGGGACCCCAAAACATGGGAGGGACCCCAAAATGTGCGGGGGGGACCCCAAAAGGGTGTGGGGAGATCAGAAGTGGGAGAGGAGACTCCCCAAAGTCTGCAGAAGGCGGGAAATGGATGGGACCCCATAAATTGTGAGGGAAACCCCAAAATTCTGTTAGGACCCCAAACAAAATGTGCGGGGGGGACCCCCAAAAGGGTGCGGGGAGATGAGAAGGGGGAGAAAAGGCTCCTCAAAATCTGCAGGAGGCGGGAAATGGATGGAACCCCACAAATTGCTAGGGAAAGCCCTAAATGTATACGGACCTCAAAATGTGCGGGGACCCCAAAAGTGTGAAGGAAAAGCTGGAAAAGGGATCCTAAAATGTACAGGGACCCCAAAATGTACAGGGAACCCAAAACATAGGAGGGATCCCAAAACACGGGAGGGACCCCAAAATGTGCAGGGACCCCAAAATATGGGTAAGGACCCCAAAATGTGCAGGGACCTCCAAAGTGTGAAGGAAAACCTGAAAAAGGGACCCCAAAATGTGCAGGGACCCCAAAACACGAGGGAGACCCCAAAAGGGGTGTGGGGAGATCAGAAGTGGGAGAGGAGACTCCCCAAATGTGGGAAATGAATGGGACCCCACAAATTGTGAGGGAAACCCCAAAATGTGCAGGGACCCCAAAATGTACAGGGACCCCAAAACACGGGAGGGACCCCAAAATGTGCAGGGACCCCAAAAGTGTGAAGGAAAAGCTGGCAAAGGGACAATAAAATGTACAGGGACCCCAAAATGTACAGGGACCCCAAAATAGGGGGAGGGACCCCAAAATATGCAGGGACCCCCAAAGTGTGAAGGAAACCCCGAAAAGGGGACCCCAAAATGTGCAGGGACCCCAAAACACGGGAGGGACCCCAAAAGGGTGCGGAGAGACCCCAAAAGACGAGGAGGGCCCCGAAAGTGTGCAGGGACCCCAAAATATGGCAGAGACCCCAAAACACGGCAGAAACCCCTGATCTGTACAGGGACCCACCCCAAAACTGTGCGGGGACCCCAAAAATCTACAGGGACCTCCCAAACTGTGAAGGAAACCCCAAAACACGCAGGGACCCCAAAATGTACACGGACCCCAAAACACGGCAGGGACCCCGATCTGTAGGGGACCCCAAAAGGACGGGGACTCTAAAGGGTGCGAGGACCCCCAAAACCCCACAGAGACCCCAAAACGCAGAGGGACCCCCAAAAGTGTGTAGGGACCCCAAAAAACTCACTGGGCCGGACTGGGAGGGGTTTGGGGTGCGGGGTTTTGGGGGGTTCCTTTTGGGGTCCGGGGGGTTCTATTTGGGGTGCTCTGGGGTCGCGTTTTGGGGTCTCGTTTTGGGATTCTGGAGGGTTAATTTTGGGGTGGTGTGGGTTCACTTTGGGGTCTCGTTTTGGGGTTCTGGAGGGCTCCTTTTGGGGTCCAGGGCGGTTTCGTTTTGGGGTCTCGTTTTGGGGTTCTGGGGGGTTCATTTTGGGGTCCGGGTGTTCATTTTGGGGTCTCGTTTTAGGGGTGCTGGGGGTTCATTTTGGGGTATTGGAGTGCTCATTTTGGGGTGCTCGTTGTAGGGTCCCGGGGGCTCCTTTTGGGGTGCTGGGGGCTCATTTTAGGGGTCCGGGGTTGTTTCATTTTGGGGTGTTCGTTTTAGGGTTCCAGATGTTGCACTTTGGGGTCCCGAGATCTTTTTAGGGCTTTTGGGGGATTCGTTTTGGGGCGCTCGGGGGTTCATTTTAGGGTTTCGTTTTGGGGTCCTGGAGGG